TTTAACCGTAATTTCACATTTTCTAGTCAAGATAAATAGGTCACTGTGGCGATCTTAGATTTGGGCTGTAAGATAAGTGAGAATTGCAAATTGAAGTGGCTATATGGTTTAATTTTCCTTCTGGAGATCAGGAAAGCAGAACTTTAATCACAATTCTAACCCCAACTTTTAATATGCTGATAATAACTAAAAGAGAAATTTCTACCTCAAATGCTAATCTATAGATTTGAAATGTCGTTAAGTGAAAATATTGTCCCACCGTTTCCCTTATTTAAAATTAGAAAACTGGAATGAATGATTTGCAAAGTTTCTTCCAACTCCCAAAGGCTATGGGTCTCTTATTCCAGGACATTTATGTTAGATGAGAATTTGAAGTCAAACCGTTGCTCCCTCTTAGACAAATTATTCCACACAAGAATCACTTTTATATCATCTTGTACACAAAACCAAAGGTGAAAAAAATAAATGAAGAATATCTGTGTATCTATAGATTGAATTATGATATATTTATCATTCAATTTTTCACCTACAAAGGAGCAATTTTTAAATAGTTCAATGTAATAGAATGACACAGTTAAGGAGAATAGAAAAATACAGCCCAGATACTTGCTACATAAAATTTCACACTTATTTATTACATTATCATTGGGGCTTATCCCATGGCAAGCTCCACTGAGTAAACTATGCAAACATATATCAATGTGTATAGAGGAGGACGTTTTACAACATCTACTCACTAAGAAATTGATTTACTATGGTTTACCATATCATTTAGCCAATCTTTTTTCCAAAAATTTTAAGCACTATCTGAGACTCAATAAGTGAGTTGATAAGAGATTGAAAAAGTGCTTTCCCCTATGTTCTTACATAGTGAAATTTTTTAGGTTATTTTTTCCAGTAGACCAAATATTTCATGGGTATAATATATCCACGGAAATATTGAGATATTAATTTTTGTGCACAATGAGTAAACATAATTTGAACAAAATACTTTAAAATGTTGGGAGTGTTTTTTAAGTAAAATTAAGTTTCCAAAATATTAAGACTTTGCCTGCATTGGAGATCTAGTTAATACTATCTGTTCAGAGAATATCATCTGTTCAGACACTGACTGCTAGAAAAACTAAAAAACAAATTTTCTGATAAATATTTGATTGTTTGGAAGTAAAAATAGTATAGGTATAAGTCTCTAATATTTAGTATAGTCATTTCATGTATATTATTTTTTCTTCATATATATTAGAAACATCTTACATATAAATACATACATGCATACAAGCATATTCAGTGTTACATATGGGTATTTAGTATATAAAATATTAAAATGTTTTTATTATATTAATATAAAATATGTAAATAAAATAAAAATATATTTTATGGGGTGAATTGTGTTTTCTCAAATTCTTATATTAAAATTCTAACCCCTAGTACCTCAGAATGTAACTATTTGAAGATAGGTAAATAGAAGTAAGTTAAAATGTGCTTACTAGTGTAGGCCATAATCCAAGATGACTGTTGTCCTTAAAAGAGGAGGAAATTAGGACACAGATATGTGCAGAGGAAAGATCATGTGAAAATACAGGGAAAAGACTAAAAGCCCAGAAGAGAAGCCTCAGCAAGCCTGCTAACACCTTAACTTCAGACTTCTATCCTCTAGAATTGTGAGAAAATAAATTTCTATTTTTGAAGCCCCTCAGTCTGTGGTACTTGTTATGGCATCCCTAGCAAGCTAATATAAAGTGCAATATGGTATAAAGCATATAAAACAAAATAAATTTTTTATAATTCTTGCATTTTTACATTTGTTAATAATCTTGTTCATCATCGTACTCCCCTTGACTGGAATAATAATTTGCACACAGAAAATGTTCAACAAACATGAGTACAATAAATTATTTAATTAGCCTCTTAAGAAACATTTCTTCCATATCTGTGTAGTCCAAAGTAAAATATTATTTTAAAATATTAAAACATAAATATATTGGGATAAAGTTCATAAATAATAAATAATATGACAGATTCATAAATAATATGACAGACAATTTATTCTAAACACTTTTAATATTATTATACTCTTCCTCTGTCCAGTTACTATTTCCAAGTTGTACACATAACTTAATATAGATAAGTCATATCAATCTGTGAATAGTGATCAATAGATCCCTAGAGCATCTGAAGACTATTTTAATTAAGGCATTAAAATAGCACACTTGAACCCTAATATCAATAAGTACTCTAAATGTAAATAATCTAAATACCTGAAAGATATTGACAGAGTAGATTAAAAAAATACCACCAATCATATGTTGTCTAAAAAAACTCACTTGAAATACAATAATATAAGTTAGTTAAAAGTAAAAGAATGGAAAAAGATCTATCATGTAACATTAATCAAAGGAAAACAGAAATACCTGTGTTAGTATCAAATAGACTTTAGAGCAAGGAAAATTACCAGAGACAGAGAGGATATTGTATAATAATAAAAGGATCAATCTACTGTGAAGACACGCCAATCCTAAAAATGTATGAACCAAACAACAGAGAAGAAAAATATGTAAAATAAAATTTGATAGAACACAAAGGACAAATAGAAAGATTTAGAATTATGATTGTAGACTTCAACATTCCTTTCTCAATAATTGTTGGAACTATACAGAAAAATAACACGAATGTGGAAGAATTCAACAACACCATTAACCAACAAGATCTAATCAACCTTTATCGAAAACTCCACCCAACAACAGCAAACACATTCTATTTAAGTGCTTATAGAACATATATCAAGATAGATCATATCCACAGCCATAAAACAAACCTCAAAAAATTTAAAAGAATTGAAACCATACATAGTACATTTCCCAACCACAGTGAAATCACACAAGAGATCAATTCTAAAATGACAAATATTCTTGTTGTATATTTCAAAACACTTAGAAATGAAACAACATATTTATAAATAATCCATGGCTCAAGGAGGCATTCTTAAGGAAAATCTTAAAAATACATTGAACTAAATAAAAATAACATCAAAACATATCAAATTTGGGGGACACAGTCAAACAGTATTGAAAATGGAATCTTATACACCAAAAGCATGAATTAGAAAAGAGAAAAAAAATCTGAAATCAGTAATCTAAGCTCCTGCTGCAAGAACCTAGAAAAAGAAGGGCAAAACAAACCTAAAACAAGAAAATGGATAGAAATAATGAAAATCAAAAATCAATGAAATTAAAAAAAAATAGAGATAAATCAAGAAAATTAAACAATGGTTTTTGGAAAAAGACTAATAAAATCAGCAAACCACTAAGAAGAATGACAAAGATGAAAAGAAAAAAGACACAAATTACCAACATCAATAATTAAACAGAAGATATTACTATATACCTGTTCACATTAAAAAGATAACAAGGGAATACTCCAAACAACTCTAAACACTTACATTTGACAACTTAGACAAAATAGACCAATATTGAAAAACAAAAATTACTTCAAATGAAATAGATTATTTGAATAGACATAAGGAAATTGAAATTGTAATTTTAACTCTGAAAAAAGAAATATCCAGTGTAGTGTATGTCAGGTATAATGGTGGTTCAATATTCAAAAATCAATCAATATAATCCAGCACATTAATAGGTTAAAGAAAAAAAGTATATAATTATATTATTTGATGCAAAAAAGCATTTGACAAAATTAGGATCATTTCATGATTTAAGAAAAAACTTTTAGGAAAATAAAAATAGAGAAACTTCCTCAATTGAAAAACAAATATTAAAACAGTCACAGGTGAACACCGAATGAACAATGAACACCAAAATTAAAAATGCAATATCAGTTACATTTGCTCAAAATTTTTAAAAAGAGATACTTAAGTATAAATCTAACAACAACATATTTATAGGACTTGTATGCTGAAAACTATACAACCGTGATGTAAGAAATTAAACATCTGAATAAATCAAGAGACACTGTGTCTATGAGTTGGAAGATTCAACAAGGTAAAGACATCAATTCTCTCCAAATTGGTGGTCAGTTTTACTGCAATTTCTATAAAAATCCAAGCAATATTTTTATGCTGACATAGACAAAATTACTCTAAAGTTTTTGTGTAAAAGTAAAGCATTACAATGGCTCAAAATAATTTTGACAAAGAAAATAGCCAGGGCATGGTGGCTCATGCCCATAATCCCAGCACTGTGGGAGGCTGAGGCGGGCAGATCACCTGAGGTCAGAAGTTCAAGACCAGCCTGACCTACAAGGTGAAACCTCGTCACTACTAAAAATACAAAAAAAATTAGCCAGGCGTGGTGGTGGGCGCCAATAATCCCAGCTGCTTGGGAGGCTGAGGTAGGGGAATCCTTTGAAATACCACTTGACCCAGCAATCCCATTACTGGGTATATACCCAAGGAATTCTAAATTGATCTATTATAAAGACACATGCACATGTATGTTCATTGCAGCACTGTTTACAATGGCAAAGACTTGGAATTAACCCAAATGCCCATCAAAGACAGACTTGATAAAGAAAATGTGGCACATATACACCATGGAATACTGTGCAGCCATAAAAAGGATGAGTTCATGTCCTTTGCAGGGACATGGATGAATCTGGAAGCCATCACTCTCAGCAAACTGACACAAGAACAGAAAACCAAACACCACATGTTCTCACTCATAAGCGGGTGTTGAACAATGAGAACACATGGACACAGGGAGGGAAACATCACACACTGGGTTCTGTTGCGGGGTGGGGGAATATAGTTGGGATAGCAAGGGGTAGGGGGACTGGGGAGGGGTAACATTGGGAGAAATACCTAATGTAGGTGACGGGGGGGATGGAGGCAGCAAACCACCATGGCACGTGTATACCTAAGTAACAAGTCTGAACGATCTGCACATGTACCCCAGAACTTAAAATAAAAAATAAATAAACAAAAAAAGAAAATTTTATTAAAAAGTTAAATATGCCTGCTATTTCCACTTTTTTTTTTTTTTATGGTGAAAAGATATACATATATTTAGAATTAGCCAGCTGGACTCAGTTTAGATGATCCCAATTTTGTTGGCAACATCCAAAGCATCGTAATCAGGAGCCAGTCGAACATATGCCTTCTTCTCTCCATCAGGCCGAATCAGGGTGTTGACCTTGGCCACATCAATGTCATAGAGCTTCTTCACAGCCTGTTTGATCTGGTGCTTGTTGGCTTTAACATCCACAATGAACACAAGTGTGTTATTGTCTTCTATCTTCTTCATGGCAGACTCAGTGGTCAGCGGAAACTTGATGATAGCATAGTGGTCCAGTTTGTTTCTCCTGGGGGCGCTCTTCCGAGGATATTTGGGCTGCCTCCGGAGTCGCAGTGTCTTGGGCCGCCGGAAGGTGGGTGACGTGCGGATCTTCTTTTTTTTGTGGCTGTGGACACCTTTCAACACTGCCTTCTTGGCCTTTAAAGCCTTCGCTTTGGCTTCGGCTTTAGGAGGGGCAGGAGCTTCCTTCTTCGCTTTCGGCGCCATCTTGTGAAAAGGGTCTATTTCCACTTTTTTATCTCCTGTTTTCATCTTAATCCAGCTGGGATCCCCTCCTCCTCACCCTATTAAATTACTTTTATAGAAGTTACCAATGGTCTCATCAGTGCCAAATTTGATGGTCACTTCTTCCTGGAAATTCTCACCATTATTTTTCTTCCTTCCAGAAATGTTTTATTTCTTGGTTTCCATAAAACATCTTTCTCAATATTTTCTTCCTCTTCACTAGTTGCTTTTCCAAGTTGCCCTTGCTTTTTGCTTGTCATCTGCATATGTCTAATCATAGGAGGCCCCCACTGTACTGTCCAGAGCCAAGCCTACCTTCCCAGCTCTCCTCACCCCTTCTATCATCTCCTGTCTTCTCAAGCTACACTCCTCTATGCTTACCTTATCCAAACTCACTATTTAAAAACAATCTACATTGATGACCCCAAAAAGAGAATTCTTGATCTTTGCCAGAAAAATCTATGTCTTCTCTGTCTTATCCCTCTCCATAAATAAAACCAAATTAACCCAAACTCTTATTTTTCTAATTAACCTGAAAATTTTTCTAATTAACCTAAAAATCTAACAAAGGAATATGCCTCACAAGGAACACATAAGAACATTCTATCAATTCCACTACCGAAGTATAACTTTAGTCTATCCATTTCTCTCCTTAACTGCAGCCACTTTTCATCTCTTTCTCAAATTCCTACAATTACCTTCTAACTTCTTTATTTGCTTTCACCTCATCTCTCTATAATCTGTTCCCACACAGTAGTTAATGTGGTCTTTCAAAAGTGAGAATCAAATCACATTATTCACCAGCTTAAAAACACTCCAAAGACTTTCAGTTTCACTCACATTTATATAAAGATATAAATATTTTAAAAGAAAAAAACATAAAGCTTACATAAATGGAGGATTATGATCTAATCATATAAAATGATTTTTTTTTAAGTACAGACATGTTTTTCTTATTTGCTTGCCTTTTAAAAAACTCTTTCTTCTTCCTCTAAACGGGTCCCCAAACTCCACTTCCAAATAAACCATATTAGCAACATAGTGTGTATTTTTTCTTATTTTTCTCCTTGCTTATTTTATCATATTCAGAAAAACAAAAGATACAAAGATGTTTGTAAATATTTTACCAAATTTGGAGTTTACTATACATAGGGGGTTTTCTAAGTTTATTTTTCTGAGTAACACCTCACAAAAATTCTTCCAAGTCAATGTAAAGTTCCAGTGCATTCTTTTCAATGACCCCAAAATATTCTTTGGTATGGATGTAGCATAGTATTTTCAATCTTTCCCGTAATTGTAGGCATTTGCTTTGTTTTCAGGTTTTGACTAATATGGTCAACATTGCAAAAAACATTCTTCTCACTACATCTTTATTTCTATTTACATTTGATAGATTTCTAGACTAAGACTTCTGAATCAAATGAGAATTTTTATTTTAAGTAATGCTGCCAGATTGCTTTCCAAAAACGTAAATCACATTTCTACCAGTAGTGAGGTTGGGTATCCTTCCTCCATTGCCACCAGCAACAGGTGCTATTACACTTTTAATTTTGTACTGGTTAAGTGTGTATATATATTATTACTCCTTTAATTTGAGATCATTGTTGAGATATTTATTCCAATTAGTCTTCCAGGCGACACATTAGGATCTCAAGAATGACAACTGTCTTTTTAAATTGACCTACTAAATTTTTAAACTTGAAAATCATGTTTTTCAGTTTAGTTTTTTTGTTTTTCTGTGTGTGAGTGTACTTACGTGTGCTTTTCTGTTATTGCTCAGGCTGCTATTTGTTTTCTCTAGTAATACTGTTTGGATGAGCTGTTTTATTTTATTTTTTTTGTTTCCTCTCTGCCTGCCTGGCTCCCTTATTTGCATTATCAGTTTTCTGTGTTGGTTTGTTACAGCAACTGTTATTATTGTAGGCAGTTCCACAAGACAGAAAGTAAGACATTCTTAAGGCTGAAGGTAAGCAACAGGCATTCTGCTTCTCTGTCCCAAAGCCTCAGGATGAAGTCTTCCAGCTCCCCATTTTCTGCGCATTCTGTTAGTCTAATCTCAGAAGAAAGGATGCTTCAGCCTCCCTTTTGCAGTTCCTGGCTGATATCTATGGAACCATAAAAACCCATTAACTTGGGCCAGCATCAACTTTATTTCTGGGTGTTCACAAACCTGTGTTGGACAAGCTCTTCCCAGGTCCTGCTGTTGATTCTTTTCTTTGCATAGGACTTTCAGACTGTTCTCCATATTCTTGCCTGACCCATGGGAGACAAGTTTCCTTATCACCTCCCTGGTTCCATGCCTCCCATAAATTCCAACTCCGCTTGGCCCAAGGAGTGGTAGATATGTTGAAATAGAGAATGGAAGGAAAATATGACATAGTTTAGTTATCACTTTTTCCAAATCCCTCCATTCACTATATTTAGAAATAGCATCCAAACTTGTTACCATGGCCTGTAAGGTCCTGTGTAAACCTATCCCTACCTACCTGGGCAAATTCAGCTTGCACACTTTCTTCCTTGATCATTTACTTGAGTCACAAAGAGTTCGCTTTTGTTCCTCAAATATACCAATCTTAATCTTACCTAGGGCTCTTGCAACTATTGTCTCTTCCCTCTAGAAAACTCTTCTCCCCTTGATTTTTCATCTTTCACATCTCACTTAAATGTCACCTCTTCAAAGAGGCTTTATTTGATCACTTAAATACTGTCCACTGAGTCACCAAATCTATTTTACATTCTTTATGTCACTTAACACTATCTCAAATTATCACACTTATATGTTTATTTCATGATCTATTTATAATCTAATTTTTCCATTGAATCACCAAGAAAGCATGACTCTATCATGTAAATAGTTTTAACAGATACTTATTAAAGATATGAAGACATTCCAATATCTTTGAAGAAAAAATATAAATTATATATTATGCCAATTCCAACAATAAGTCACTTTTTAGGAGACCTGTTTCTGTCAAAGTAAAAGCTATGAACAGTGCAATTTGTCTGGTGATATGTGAAGGTCCTACTGTAGAAAGCCTTCTACAGCAGGTAGGGGAGATAAAGGGATGGGGGCAGTTGCAAAAGTCATTCTGACATAAAATTTCAACTGTGTTCTCCTTTAAGCCTGTCAGTAGCATATAACTGGAAAAGAAAAATTAGATTACAGTCTAGGCATTAAAGAGATCTACATAGTATAAAAAATTAGAGGCATCTCTTTCTAAGGACACTTCCGTTAAGTTTATAGAAGATTGATACTCAATAAAAGTATCAATGGAAGTATCAATGCACATGGAAGGCAATTGGTCCTTTGAATTCACCTCTTCTAAGTAATACTCTGTCCTATCATACTACTCTGCATGATCTGGGAAAACTTGAACACTGTATATTATATTAAGGAATTATTTAATTCCTAAAATTTGGAGAGGAGTACAATGAAATGGGTTTGGCTGTATATTGATAATTGGTCAAGCTATGATAGGGATGTGGTTTGTTATAGTATTTTATTTGCTTTTGTATAAATTTGAAGTTTTCTAAAATGAAAACTTAAAAAGACACCATAAGGTTGCCATGAGCCAAGATTGTGCCTCTGCACTCCAGCCTGGGAGACAAAGTGAGACTCCATATATACATATATATATGTATGTGTATATATATATATATATATATATATA